TATTGTACTTCCTTGTACACTGCCCATCTGTGGTCTAACTATAAAAAGGGCAGTCTTCAGAAACTGTCAGTACCTTACAATGACGCCCTAAGGATATTATTGAAAAAGCCTAGATGGACGAGTGCTAGTGAATTGTTCGTGTCATCTCGATTCAGTACATTTCCCGCTGTTCTAAGAAACCTGATGTTTAAATTTATTTGTCGCTTGAATGGTTTTGAAAATCATATCATTTTATTGTTGACTAATGTTGCACACATTGACATGTGTTTTACTTCTGCTCTCTGGAAACACTGGTATGCCTGCCTTTTAAAGGGACAGTAGTTTATGGTTGATGTCTTGTTCTTGTTTTTATTTTATTTTATATTGTTTCTTTTAACTGTTCTTTTATTGTCTATTTGTTCTAATTTGGACCTTGAGTCTATAATAAAGTGCCATTCATTCAATAACATTCCACTGAAAAGTATAAGAATTTAAAATGACTGTACAATATGGCAGATGCATGGTGGATCGATATCTCTGATTGGCCGTTCCTTCTCTGATCAATTATATGATTGAGTTTTTTTAGTTGTAATTAGGAGCAAGTCACTGGCTCTTAAACTGCTGTTAGCAAGCTCCAACTAAAGTCTGTGCTGCTCCCACTGACAGACTGTGGTTTTAGTTTGAGTCTGAACACCTTCAGTCTGGTTCATGACATGAAGAGAACTTACATAATATGCAGGTCGAGCTGTCGGTCAAAGGTGGCGGTGACGACTAAGTTCTGGATCACAAGCTGGAAACCGGAGTTTTCCCGGAAACGTAGATCAGCTTGATTGACAACCAGCTGAGTGAACGTGAACCTGAGCAGAGGATTGAGAGAAAGAGCGGCTGTGAAGCTGAATGCTGATGCAGTCTTTGGCAAGTGGCTGTGGCTCAGGAGGTATACCGGGTTGTCTCCTAACCGGAGGATTAGCAGTTTGATTCCCGGCTTGTCAAGTCTAGATGTCAAAGTATCCTTGAGCAAGACACTGAACCAACAGTTGCTCCCGGTGATGACACCAGTGTGTGAGTGTTTGGGGGTGTGAATGGCCAAATAGTGTGAAAGCACTCTGAGTGAGCTGCAACGCATAGAAAAGCGCTGTACAAGCATAAGGCCTTATCTCAGTATCAGAAATGTGTTTGGTGCCAACAGTGCCACCTGCTCTACACTTCTCCCTCTTGTTTGTACCTGTTACATTTTGGTTTTACACCAGTAAGATCTGATATCAAAAGCGTTTTTTTCCATTTGTTTCCACTATGGTGCGCCTGCTTTGGAAGTGCATTCTGGGAGATAAATTTCAGTACCTCTCAGCAGGTAGTACTAAAATCAAGTACCAGGACTGCGAGGGGGGAGGGGGTGCATGTACACAGAGCAGTCACTGATAATTGATTAAATGTCTACATCTTCTCACCTCATTGCAAGATCTGTGTGTAAACACACAGCTGCCCCTGGAGCAGCAGGAGCAGCCCCTCCCTCCTCTAAACAGAGAACAACAGAGAGGAAACACAGTGGATGGAGAAATGAAGCAAGATGGGCAGCGGCAACCCCAGAGGCTATCCTTGGTAATGGTTAAGGGAAGTATGGGATACACCGCTCGTTAGGTTCTCATAGTGGAAACGCAGCTAAAATCCACCCAGTGGTCAGTTTATTAGGAACACCTGTGTCAACCTGAGTTGGTCTAATCCAACAGTCCTGCTGTAAATCCTCCTCCATGAAGGTGATCTTGTTCAGAGAGGTATTTCTGTTACCATACCGGAACCAGCTCAGTATAACCCAGTCCATTTGAACAGCAGCTCAAACTCCTGCCTCCACAATAGTCATACAGGTGAACCAACACCTATATGAACACAAACTGAACATTATCACACTCATGGAGGAGGATTTACTGCAGAACTGTTGGATTAGTCAAATAAATAGACCACTCAGTCTGACATTAGAATTAGGTGTGCTCTAGCCAGATGTGTGAATGTAAAACAACAGCTAGAGAGCAGTGCGGTAAGGAAGCAGCTTCTTACTGCTGGATTGTGCAGATACTGCGCTGAAAGCTCTCAAAAGGTCTGTTAACCAGCTCCTGGAGAATGGCCACAGCTTGATCCCTCACTGTGAAAACAAACAGGTGCATGTCACATTCCCTGGGAGTCCAGTCTGTGACTAAACCACAGACAGAGACTGTTGTCAGGCAGACTGAGGTAACACTACAGTGAAAGTAGAAAGCTGGGAGCTCCTACACATGTTCAGTGATCTGTCGGTGAGTCGCAGTTTGAAATCGGCCGGCTCGATGGCAGCGATGGAGGAAAACAGGGAGGTGAAGAAGAGGAGGGCAAAAATGCAGGAAGTCATCCTGAGGCAAAAACCTGTAACATGGGAATAAGAAGAAGAGGACTCTTGAGAAAGCAGCACAGAGTCCTGTCTAAACTCAGCGGCTCACATCATGCAGCTTGAGCCTGTTTCACTGAATATTTTACTGTCTTTGCAAGAGTGAGACACAAAACTAGCCCCAACACAGAAGGCTGTTCTGTAAAGATCAATGAACATGGGATATTTAACAGAGACAAACTCAGTTCAGTTTTGCAACTTGTAAAGTTACACCAGTGTTTGAGTTAAATATTCCCTAGTAATCAGCTAAATACCACACATGATGTTCCACAAAACTTGTACAGCCAAGTACAAACTCAGGCCACAGACCCTCAGACGTGTGACACCACCACAGGAAAGTGGATCCACTGCTACATCAACACAAAGTACACATAATTACACAGATGTGAAATTCAGCTCTAAATCCCTGCATCTATTATACAGATAATTAAAAAATAGAGCAGAGCAACAGCTTTACTTGGTACCACAGAAGAAAAAGCAGCAGTTACCTGTGGTTTGTGTGTGTGCAGAGGCTGCAGTAGGTGACCACAGCTTCCATAAACCCACTTCTACTTATACGTCTCTTCGCACGGAGCATGAAGCTGCAAGGTTTGTACATCTGACCAAACATGGACATGATCTGTGCGATTTGGCTGCTGTGGTTTCAAACTGTAACTGTTTATCTTATCTGATAAGCTGTCAGACCAAGTGAGGCTACAGTCACACATTAGCCAAACCTCTGAACGTGCAGGTGCTTATTTCACTGTCACAGTTTCCACCTACTGTTCAGAGTTTACTGTCGGGCTTGTTCGGAGGCTCAAACAGCTTCACCTGATGCACACGGTTTCCTCCAAACCCCTACAACAAAGGAGGCAAAGCTAGTGTTAGGTATTTTTAGTCAGATAGACATTGGTTAGACACTTCATGTATTAGAAGTATTTAGTGTAGACAGGATGTCTAGCTCAGGCTGTTAAATGCTTAGTCATTCTCATGGGGAAGTCCAGGTTGTTTATGTTCAAGGATAACTAGATAGAAAGTTGATTACTGTATGACATGTTTAATCATAATCATAATCATAATATCTTCTTATGCTTAATGTCATGACATGTCACTGGATGTCCTGTCAGAATGTCTTAGCTACACACCACACAATCAACGGACAATCACACATTGATTTTCTTCATGTTTTGACTACTGCTATGACCAGCTGCAAAGCCTTGCACCGGGACACGTCACGGTTTGACGTTCCTGTGTAGTATGGGATTAGCCCAAAGCGATATAATGTACAGGCCTGTTGGGTTCGGGGTCTTTCATCCTTCAGCTGCCTGCGTGCATGTTGGAGGTGCAAGATACCTGAGCGTGTAATGTTAATTTTTACCTGTGTTCATGGAATAAATCAGCACTGTTTTGAAGCTACTCGGACTGTCTCGTCTCTCAGAGTTAGCGTGGTACAAAGAACTGGAATACAACACTAGCATGACCTAAAAAAAGTCACAGTGGACACATCTGTGGGCAACACACTAGTCTGAAGC